ATATATATATATATATATAGTTATGTAAACTACTTTTGATATATTTTAACTTTTATCAAAAATAACCAGTTTTCGTTGCCTTTTTTCTGTCATATTTTAATTTGTCTTTAACCAACCTAAAACATTTCATAATTATGTTTAGTTAAATAACAAACGCTACAGTTTTTAAGATTAAAAGTCTAAGTGAAGACAACATTACACGTATCCTTTACGATTTGTTAACCCCCGCAGTAGCACAGCGGTATGTCTGCGGACTTACAACGCTAGAATCCGGGTTTCGATACCCGTGGTAGGTAGAGCACAATGTGTAGCTTTGTGCTTAACTTCAAACAAACTATTTGTTAATAAAGTGGTTTAAGTAAGTATAAGTTCATATAAGAACAACTGAATTCAAAAACTTTTCATTCATTTACATGCATTTTTTAAATAAAACTTTCCATTATTCCTTTTAGTTTATGTTTGTATTGGGGGGGGGGATTAAGAGAAATCTGTTAATTAAAATCATTACGTAAGAACCAAAGATTCAAAGAAGTTTCCCTTGTTTCTTTGATGATCCAATTTATTTTTACAAAACTTATTAATAAAAAAAATAATCATTTACGATACGTATAAAGATTGGAAATAAAAATAAAAGTTGTCGGGCCATTTAGACCAATCACATTTTCCTAAAAATTTTCATGAAGTCCTTCCTTCCATATTTGAGGTTTTATTTCTTAAACAACAACGAAAACAAGTAAGACAAAATAAAGAACAGAAGCTTACTTATTAGTAATTTGGTTTCTCCAAAGTACTACTTACAGGAAAATAGTTCTTTACAAAACTTTGTTTAGTTCAAAAGGATCAGTAAAAAAAAAAAAAAGAAGATAAAAATATGGAGTATGATGAACACTATGTTGTGACAGTAATAGTCGAAATATAAAGTTATTTTTAATGGATAATTCAAAAGCTTACATAGTCTAGTCTAGTGGTCAGGTGGTTAGGGCGCTCGATTCGTAATCTGCGGGTCACGGGTTCGAATCCCGTCCCACCAAACATGCTCGCCCTTTCAGCCGTAGTGGCGTTATAATGTTACGATCAATCCCAATATTCGTTGGTAAAAGAGTAGCCCAAGAGTTGGTGATGGTGGGTGGTGATGACTAGCTGCCTTCCCTCTAGTCTTACACTGCTAAATTAGCGCAGATAGCTCTCGTGTAGCTTTGCGCGAAATTCCAAACAAACAAAGCACCTCTAAAATAGGTCTGCAAAACGTCATTCACTGGCTTTGATTCTAGAGCCACGTAAAGTCCTCAATAAATTTTCAAAATTTCCAATTCCCCTCATCTTTATTTAGCAATAAAAAAGAAATTAGCGCAAACATTATTTTTCTTAGTAGTATGGATTTGAAGAGGAAAGTTCAGTATGAATACATTTGCAAAGTTTGATTGTCAAAGATGTATTTCACTATTATTTGCCGATATATAAAGTAACCTAAGAAAATGATGGTGGCGTTATAATGTGACGATCAATCCCATTATTCGTTGGTAA